TTGCCTAAAATGTGTTATTTTGCAATTATGTTGTTTATTTGTTTACATGTTTCCCCATTAGTCTTTAAAATACCAATATTTGCCCATAACTTCTTATTTCATGTCTGTTTGATGTCATCATTTCAAAAATGTTAGATCAGATGATACTCAGTACTCAAGTAGCCTTCTACTCGGATACTTTTTACCCTTACTTGAGTAATAAACCCTATATACGGAAAATATTGTCCTCGGTTTGTGTCCTTCCAGTGAGCTTTGCAGATGTGGGAAAATGTCATCAGGCAGTAATCATTGTTAAATTCATAATTATTCTCGGAGAGAGACCAACTCTTATCTGCCCCTGGGAGCCCTGTAATGCATAGCGTCATTTCAACATGGCGGTGTCCGTGACACGGTTTATATGCAGGTAGCGGCGCTGCGGCTGTTTTATATAGCGGATATACAGTATAACGCTAACATTAGCTTGCCTTGCGTTGACTGTAGAGTTGTGGGTGATGGTCACGCAGATGTGTCATGAGATTTGAAGCGTTGCTGCCTTTCACAGACACTTTTTCTGCACGTGCTGCAAACAGGATAGCCGTCTTCTATCAGCTGTCCCTCGGCATTCTTAAGATATCCAAAAAATGCCCGTACTTCCCACTTTGTCTTCTTTGAGGGATAATAAATGTCCTGAGCGCTGCCGTCTCCTCCTTTGGCCATTATTTCAGCTTTAGCTTCAAGAAAGTTTTGGTTGTAAACAACAAAGTGCGCATGTGCCGCTGGCAACTTCAGCAGATGATACGGTGGCTGGTAAGGGTCACCGCGTCTACACCGCAGCCACGGTAATCCACCGAGATAATATAGTTTTTAAAAAACAAGACGGTTGTTGTCATTGTCAACTTTTTTACCGGGGTTTACCGCTACACCGGTTACCGTGACAACCCTACCCCTTAAACAGCTCCCCTCAGATTTTTATGTTTTTTCGTCCTTTTTTTAAATCCAGCTCAGTAATTATGCTTTCTAAATGCAGAGTTCAGCAAAGTGATTCCTCTGATTAACTAATCAAATCTACAACCACAGGTGGCAAAGTCCCTGTATCAGCGCTGTTCCGCTGCTTAAGTCTGCCGTAAAAAAGCTGTGGTGTCGGCTGGTGTGGCTTTGAAACTCTAAAAGATGAGGCGCTGATTTGTTTGTCTTGTAATCAGGAGGTTACATTTTTATTTAATTACAACTCTGTAAAGAATTTAAATAAAGCAAGCTCTCTACGGCTACTGTGTGTGTCGGTAATGGTTTTGAGACAGCTTTTCTTTTAGGCGTTAGCAGCTGGATCCCCTATGCAGCACCCCTCAGCACCAGTAACTGAGGTCAGCCCGCTCCTGTCCATCAAATACAAGCAACACTTATGGAGTTGGGCTGGCATGGCCTCCCAAGACCACCGCTGTCCCCTCAGGGCTCTTGTGAGCGTGCACGAGTCGGAAACTGAAAGCGAGAGCTTGTGCGTGTGTGTGTCGGAAGGGTTGGGGGGCATTAGCCTCTGATTGAGTTTTCAGAGAGCAACGTGGGGTGCAAAAGGCTCCACAATGGTCTAACAGAATTAGAAGCTTGTGATGAATGGTGTGTGAGAGCAGCACTGACAGCTCGTTTTCACGAATACACACCACTGTGAGAGTGTGCGCCACTCTGTAAGTGTTTGTGTGCGTGTGAACGTCCACACTTCACCCACTGGTTAAAGGACTCTTCGTCCAAGAGCTGCTGGAATGAGAGAAATTGTGACGGACACACGCACAAGCAGGGGATATCTCTATAGGCACACGTCTTCCATTGAAGCCTAGGATTAAAATAATATTCTGCGCTCGGGATCGATCATCGCGGGCCCTACTGAACAGACTAAACAGGGCGCTTGTGCACGTTCGCACGCTCGCAGAAACAATGAGACGAGTGAAAAATTTGCTGTCCCTCTTGAGCATCTCTAACTGAATAAAGACTACACAGACCGGAGCTGATGGTGAAGCGAAAGGCTTTTGCTACACACACACACACATACACACACACACACACACACTCACACACACGTGCGCGCAGGTCTGGACACAAACGCAGACTCTGATGCATAAAAGCAGCATTTAACAAAAGCCTCAGGATATTGATCACAGCAGATGGACGCTAACTCACACTGAAGGACCAAAGTGATAGAGAGAGAACAAGAGGAGACGGAATGAAGAAAACGGAGGGGTTATTATACTTACACATACAGATGACAAGGCATGTGTGCAGGAGTGAGAGAGGGAGAGAGGCTCCACCCAGACTGACAAAATTATTGTGAGGTAAAGTCACAGATGTTTCTGTCGTAACCTGTTGGCACCCAGTCCTAATGGCTGTTCTCAGACCAGCCAGAGATGAATGGGAAGGAGGAGCAAACGGAGAATGCTCTAATCCAGTGTTTCTCAACCCTGGTCCTCAGCCCCCCTGTCCTGCATGTTTTCTATGTTGCCGTTTCCAACAGCGTTGTTTCTCTGCTGCCTCACACCTGAGTTGAATGAATGAGTGATTAACAGGCTTCTGCAGCACTTGATGTCATCCTAATGCCTGATTTATGCTTCTCCGTCTGCGTCAGTGCGGAGACACGCAACGCCATTATCCGTCCTTGCGTAGGGCTCCGGCAGGCATGCAAGTACGTACGGAGTCGAGCCCACTTTTTTAAACATCCATCGAACGAGACGGATTACGCAAGCTTGTGATTGGTCAGGACGCCGCTGTTGTTTACAGCGCCGCCATTGCAAAGAGAGCCGAGGATAACTAGCGGCAGACACGGAGAAGCTTGAAGACTACCTCGCGAAAAAACTCTAAAAATATGAACGTTTCATCCTCCCGTGACTGGAGGAGTGAAAAGATGTGCAGCAAGCATTTTATTTGTGGACGGAAATGACAGGAAACGTGGGTTTAGAGGTGGGGAGCGCATGAAGAGGTGGAGGAGGATGAGAGACAAATATGTCCGTGTTAAAAGTCTCTTATATACACAAAAAACACAATATAAACACACTATCTTGGACCGATACATGACAGGATACCACAGAACAGCGCTACGCCCTCTGTTGTCCTGCCGGGCAATTGCTTTGCAACACTCTCCAGGAGACGGAGAAGTATGAGAGCAAATCGCTTCCGTCAATCCGCGCGTGTTTGTCTCTTGCGGAGCTGACGGAGATGCATGAATCAGGCTTAAGGAGGCAAATATGTGGACCAGGTGTGCTGTGGCAGAGGCATGGAAAACATGCAGGACAGGGGAGGCGCTGAGGACCAGGGTTGAGAAACACTGCTAATCAGTTATAAGTGATCGTATTTTCTCTATGATGACGGCGCATGACTGAACAACCAAACAAAGAAGACGGTGTTAGTCTCACAATCAAACGAAGGTTTGATAAGAGCCCAAAAACTCTGATCGTGGATCTGTGCGGTTGGTCCTACACATCCGAGCAGAGCCTGCTGCAGCAGACAACACTTGTAAATATGGGCAGACGATGGCAGAGGAGTTAAGTATCCGCCACCTCCTTGTAGTGTTGCAGGTTTGAGCCCCGTTCAGTCTGTCGCTGTTGTTGTGTCCTTGGGCAAGACACTTAATCCACCTTGCCTGCTGGTGGTGCTTGGAGGGACTGGTGGCATCCATGCAAGTCACCCTCACTTCTGTCAGTGCACCCCAGTGCACCTGTGGCTACAGTGGTCATCAGGATGTCAATGAGTGTGTGCATGGGTGAATGACTGATTGTGTTGTAATGTGCCTTGGGGGGTTCTAGGACTCTAGAAGGCATAATAACAAATACAGTTTGGGTGCTAATGCATCTGAATGTTTCTATATTTACTGGAGTTCCATCAGAGTCCTGCTGTTTATCCATTAGTTCAGAGTTAATTTAGAAACCGCTTTTTCTGCTGCACAACAGTTGATTTCAATGAGTTTAGTCAACTCTGAGCATCTTTGACGTTTTACGTATTATTTTTATGATAATGATCAGCAACGCTGTGTTTAACATGCAGGCTGAACGTGAAATTATCTTCTTCTGCAACGCTGCAAATGTGATAAATGTGTGAGTAAAGTTGATCTTTAAGTGCCTTTTTCCACAAAACAACGTCATCAATGGAGCACCAAAGGGCAGGATGTTACTGCAGCAGGTGGTCCTCCTGAAGGCCTGTGAAGAAGACAGTAGCACAGCGCCATGCAGCCCAAACAGAGAGTTACTGCTCCAGGCAATATTCAGCAAGGACAACCATTTTTTTAATTTCAGAAATCTGAGGGGTGATTTCCTTTATAATTTACAGTAAATTTTAACTTATTTCAGCATGCAGTCATTTTAACCTTCAGAATAAAATAAGCAGCACGATGCACAAAAGCTGCTCTGATGTGGAGAAAGTTGTTGAGCTGAATGAGGGAAATGGGTGAAGAGTGGTGCTGTTTCATCAGACAGAAAAACTGGGGATCATTCAATCAATCAAAGATACTTTATTAATCCCAGAGGGAAGTTAGAGCAACATAAAGGAATTGTGCTTTGACATCAGTCAGATCGTATAAACAAAGGAGTGGACCAGTTGCAGTGAGCACGTCTGTTACCATGGTGACAGACTCAGAGTTTCCCTAGCCTCAGGGTGATCCTTGAGGAACCTGCTTTCTGCTAGAATGAAAGTCCCTAAAAAGCTCTGATAAACAGAACTGTGACTGCAAATGAAGTAGACACCTTTAGTCTAAAAACATCAAACAGAAAAAGCGAACTAGTTCAAAAGTATCGCCGAGCGTTCCCCTAAAGGTCCAGCGTGCACCTATAGATGATAGGAGGCTACATTCACTTTGATTTCTGTGGCCATGTTTTTCCCCTCACAGTTTTTCTTTTTAAGTCTGTTTCTGATTTATTGATTATTGTTTTGTTTCCAGTTTAGTTTTAGTTTCGTTTCTGTTTTACCTCCATTCCTCCTTCCTTACACGCTTTTCTTTTTCCACGTTCATTATTTCTTTTGTTTTTTCCACATCTTTTCTCCTCCAG